ATTAAGTCAATGTCAATGTATGAACATTAAGGCTATTTGAGAATATAATCAAATTGTTTTCCAAAAGAATTATATTAATTTATACCCCCACCAGCAGTATACTAGAATTTTTTAGCTTCAGATGTATTAGCATTGAAAATTATCATTTTGGAAAACCGCTGCTTATTACAGATGAAAAACTGTAACTGTTTTTGGACTACTTTTAACAAATGGCCATTAATAATATTACAGCTGATTTTGTTAGTTGTGGCTACTGGTAAAACAATGTTTTTAAAGTCCATATTTATAGCCTATATGACACAATCATATTTTAGGAAGTGATTTTTTGGTCTAGTTTCTTTATCTGATAAGTAAGCAGGGAATCACAGAAGGGATATTTGCAGTCATTGAGTCCAACTTCCACCCACTGCAGGAATTTTTTCTATGATATTCTCGACAAAGGGCTTCCTAGCCTTGAACACTTCCAATAATGATAAACTCACTGTTGGGTGGTTCTTCAGATAATAAGACTTTTCCTGTAACTGAGATAATATCTATGAAAGTCCTTTGATAAAATTAAAAGGATGTTCTGTAAATTCAAAATTTTTCTAATTCATAGATCAAATTATCCCACTTGTTTTTAAAATGGTGCCCAACTATCATGAAATGATCTTCCATTTAAGTAGTATTTTATTATTTTAAAAATACTTTTTCATACTTCAATTATGTTTAGTGATTTTAACAAGAGTTTTAGTATTCTGGTATACTCCGTGCTTTTGTTATCTATTTATTTTAAAAATACTTTATTTATTTATTTATTTATTTATTTATTTATTTGAGAGAGAACATGGAGGGGCAGATAGGGAGGGAGAGACACAAGCAGACTTCGTGCTGGGTGTGGAGCCTGAGATAGGGCTAGATCTCAGGACCCTGAAATCATGATCTGAACTGACATCAAGAGTCTGCTGCTCGGGGCTCCTGGGTGGCTCAGTGGGTTAAAGCCTCTGCCTTTGAGTCGGGTCATGATCTCAGGGTCTTGGGATCGAGGCCCGCATCAGGCTCTCTGCTCTGCGGGGAGCCTGCTTCCTCCTCTCTCCCTGCCTGCCTCTCTTGCCTACTTGTGATCTCTGTCTGTCAAATAAAATGTTTAAAAAAAAAAAGAGTCTGCTGCTCAACCAACTGAGCCACCCAGGCATCCCACTATGCTTTTTATTTTTTTTATTTTTTTAAAAGATTTTATTTATTTATTTGACAGAGAGAGAGCTCACAAGTAGACAGAGGCAGGCAGAGAGAGAGGAGGGGAAGCAGGCTCCCTGCTGAGCAGAGAGCCCGACGCGGGGCTCGATCCCAGGACCCTGGGATCATGACCTGAGCCGAAGGCAGAGGCTTTAACCCACTGAGCCACCCAGGCGCCCCCCACTATGCTTTTTAAATACCAAACCCCTGGCATCATTGTTGTCATAATTCTGTTATTCTGGTATTTTTAAAAAAATCAAAATTATTTATATAACTACTTAATTTATGAAAAAAAGACATAATATGTAGACTATTATAAGTCTAGACATGTCCTTAGTTATTGTGCACATAACAAAAAAGAAACCAAAGAGTGTTATTGATAAGATTGTTAAAAGGATAGTTTTTAGTCCAAAATAAAGAGTTTCTTGTCCAGTAGAATACAAATATCATGGTACTAAAGTTGAAATAGATAACTCTGCTTTGGAATGTCTAGCTGCATATGATAAAACAAATGAAGATGATGAAACCAGAAATAATTTCTTCGACACAAAACTACATAGCACTTCATAAATTTAAAAAATCTAATCTGAATAAAAAAAGGTGTTTTATAAATATCTCCACAAGATTATCAAGAGATGAAATTATTCAAAAGATATCAAGGAAATATTGGGAAATAGCCCTTAATCCTCACTATTTTTCTGACTAGTGTAGTATCTGAAAGTTTTTTAGTTGGAAAATCATGCTGAAAATTATGCTCTTCACCCAACAATAGCACCAAATGATGATGCATCTTAATTTTTAAGATCACATCTTCAGAGGAAGATCAAATAACATTTCATTAAAACTTATCTGCTAATTTATTAAAATAGTAGCATATTTAATATTTGTTTTCTTTAATAACAGCTTTATTGATGTACAAATCACATAACGTGCACTAACTCATTTAAAGTGCTCAGTGTTTTTTAGTATTCTGTAGTTGTGCAACCATCACCACAATTAATTTTAAAACATTTTCATCACACCCCAAAAAGAAACCTTGTACACATTAACGGTCATTTCCCATCACTCACCCTTCCCCCAGCCCCACCAGCCTTTGGCAAGTACTACTAATCTACTTTTGTCTGTATGGATTTGCCTATTCTGCACCTTTCATATAAATGGAATTGTACAATATATGATCTTTTGTGACTGGCTTCTTTCAATTAGAATAATATTTTCAAGGCCCATCCAAGTTGTAGCATATGTCAGTACTTCCTTCTTTCTTATTGTTGAGTAATACCCCATTGTTTGGATATACCACATTTTGCTTATCTATTTATCAGTTGATGGACATTTGGATTGTTTCTACTTTTTAGTTATCATGAATAATGGTGCTATAAACACTTGTAAACACATTTTTATGTAGACATAAATTTTCATTACGTAGACCTACCTAGTACGTAGACATAGGTTTCATCTAGGGTATATACCTGGGAGTGGAATTGCTGGGCCATATGGTAAATTTGTTTCAAAGTGGCTGCATCAGTTTACATTCCCATGAACAGTATATGAGGGCTCCAATTTCTCCACATCCTTGCTTTTACTCACCATCATCTGCCTTTTTTATAGCAACATTTGTTTTTATAAATGACACTGATATTTTATAATATATTAGACATCAAAATTTTGAACTATATTAAGTGTTGTTTACTGATATTTTGCTTTATGAATTCTAAACTCTTTTAAAAAACACTGATATTAATACATATTTCAGTATTAAAGTTAAAATCCCAAGCTATCATTTTTGTACTAGTTATTTCAATAAATAATTGCATTTTCTTATAACACTTCACATGATACATTATCTTTAAACCTCAGAACTAGGCAAAACTTCTCTTGTATTTTCCTTCTACAAAAAAAATGAGAGCTGTATAATTCATTCATTCTTTGTGCTTATTTCTAGAAATCTTAAAAGCTAGAGCTTTTTTTAGTTGGGAATTCTCACAAGACATTAACTGTTATCCATTATGATCATTGTTTTTATACCTCTACATTTAGTAAAAGCTAACACAATCCTTTTTAGAAATAGGGTATAAAAAAAGTAAACAAATAAATATGCAGTAAGTATCCTTGATCTCCACAGAAATTTATTCCCAATTCTATAAAAGATGAAAGTGAGGCAATGAAAAGTAAAAGTGACTTACTCAATTTCAGAAGCCTAGAGGTAGCAAGCTGGTAGACAGTCCCCCTACTCCCTTCTTTATGCTACCCCATCCCTCTGTTTAAGACGGGCCTTTCTGCCATTGGAAAGTATCCCAGAGTAGCTCCTGCAGAGCTAATGCTTAAACATGACAGATTCCCCATAAAAAGAACTTCAACTAATATCCTGTCCTAGTAATGGTGATAAATTTAAATATTCCAAATCCAATCCCCACAATGGCTTGCTCTGTATGATAGAAATAATTTTATTTTTCAGTGTTGACTCTGTGATGATAATTATGAAAATTTAAGTAATCAGTTTGCTACTAATGCTAAAAGAGATTGTATAAGATTTAAAAATCTATTATTTGTTTAATAATATGGGTTATGGTATCTGATCTCTGCAATTAGCTTAAGGACAGGGGGGATGGGGCGCCTGTGTAGCTCAGCTGGTTAAGCATCTACCTTCGGCTCAGGTCATGATTCTGGAGGCCCAGAATCAAGCCCCACATCAGGTTCGCTGCTCAGTAAGGGATCTGCTTCTCCCTCACCCCTCTCTCACTAACTCTCTCCCTCAAAAAAAAAAAAAAAAGAGCAGGGGAGATATTTCCAAACAGTTCCTGTTTGGAATAATTTATAGAAAGTTACTTTGTATTTTCTGTATTACTTTATAAAGTCACATAAAAGAATTGTCTACATGAAATTTGTGAATGCTTCCTTAAAGAAAGTGAGTATCTATAAAAGTTATTATAGAAATGCATTTAGTATTCATTACTGTTGATATTGAATAGAAGCTTTAGTTCCAGATATAAGGTGAGCATACCATTAGTGGGAAACTAAGGTAGCTGTGAGTTATTTCTAGAAATATAAAGTCCCAATAATTTTACTTATTAAGTTGGGCAAATAAATCATACGTATGTTCCAAACCTAGGTAAAAGTTATAAAACAACCTAAACATATATAGAAAAATACAATAAACTGTAATAATCCCTTAAACAAACCTCTCTCCTCTCCTCAGTCTATCTCCACATTGAAGCTTAAGTATTGTGAAGGCTTGCAATGTATGGTCTAAAGAATTATGCCATCACTATGAATTAAGAAACACCATAAAATGATTTAAATCACTATGTGCTAAGTAGTAGGACCTTGTAGTTGAATAAATATTGGTTTTCTAGCAAAGTACAGACCTTAGAGGTTGTATCATTTGCCGCCATCATTTTATAGATGTGGGACATAAAGATGAGAAAGTGGAACCTGTCCAAGATCTCCTAAGTTCATGGCAGGTTGGGAATTATAACCAAGCTGATTACTGATTGAAGGCTATTTCCATATACCATCATAGTTCAAATCAAAGTTTAAAATCCATCTGATTTGTAGTTTTTTTTGTTTGTTTGTTTGTTTTAAATATTTTATTTATTTATTTAACAGAGAGAGAGAGAGAGAGAGAGAGATCACAAGTAGGCAGAGCAGCAGGCAGAGAGGAAGGGAAGCAGGCTCCCTGCTGAGCAGAGAGCCCGATGTGGGGCTCGATCCCAGGACCCTGAGACCATGACCTGAGCCGAAGGCAGAGGCCTAACCCACTGAGCCACCCAGGTGCCCCATGATTTGTAGTTTTGTTTAAACCATAAGTTTAAAAGACCTGAACATGATATGGCCTATAACAGCAAAATGTTTTCATGAATTCACATTATTCACATTTCTAGTCAACTAGAAACCAAATATAATACAACAATGTTACTATCAGCATAGATTATGGATATATTATTAAAAGTAAGTTTAATAGTGCCAACCTTCAGGATTTCTATGATATTTTTAAAATCATAGGCAATGCTATTAGATATTTTAAGATCACTTAGAAAATTACTTTCATGCAGACAAAGGAATAAACTTCTGGAAAAGGAGCTAAAAAGAAGTTTGATAGCTCTTTCTTATCTATTTCATTCCCTGAAAAATGAGTTAAACATTAACTTCACAAGTTGAATATTACAGATGAAAATAGGAAAGAAATAGAAATCCGCCCAGTTTTAGAATTACAGATTGAGTTTTGGAAGATGGTTTGATCTTGTAATCTTTTTTACTGGTCCTCTCTTGGCATTCATTGTCTTTTGGTTAACTGGTTTATATCTTCCCCTGAAATAAAACAAGTGTTAATCATTATTTTAAAGTCATCATTGTGTATCACAAAAACATATGCTTATAGTACCATTGTAAACAGCCATATGTTATACCATAATATCTCATTACAGATAGAGAGGAAACCAACTCAAGGACAGATAATCCAAAAGCCAGGAAGGAGTCCATGAAGTGTTCTAATGTAGAAAGCTCTGACCAAGAGGCATAAGAGGGGCCATTCTGATATTGTCTCTGGAAATATGAATTAAAGCTAAGAAAATAGAGAGAAGCCATTAAGTAGGGCAGGGAGAATAAAGAAATAATATTCATGAGTAACCCAAAGGTATGTTACCTAAAATTATAATAAAATTGAAACTAAGATATACCAAGGTCTGTGATATTAAAAAGATATAGAGAGTGAAGATGGCAGTTGGTAATGAGAAGAAAAGTGAAGTAGAAGACTGAACTAGTTGAAATAATAACAGCAACAGTTTTAAAGCACATAAGTTATATCAGGAACTATTCTAAATTCTATTTATTAATTGATTCATATCAGCCTCACAAAATCCCTATGATGTATGTTTATTAGCCCTGTTAGATAGGTGAGAAAACAAGGTTATATATTTTGTAAGTGGATCTAGAATTTGAATCCAGAAAGGCTGAGTTCAATGTCTATGCCTTTAACTACTTTTCTGTATGGCAGACAATTAAAGTGAAGAACTATGAAGTTCTGCTCAGACTTTTAAAGCTTCCTTGACCTCTAGTTTTAATATCTGTGGGCCCAGTTATATTGGAATTCCTGTTCTTGGATTTCCGTGGGGCCATTCACAAGTACTGGAATAGCTAAAAAAAAAAAAAAAAAAAAGGACAATAACAAATGTTGATAAAGATGTGGAGAAATTGCAACCTTCATACATTGCTAGTGGGAATATAAAATGGTGCAGTTGCTCTGCAAAATAGTTTGGCAGTTCCTTAAAAAGATAAAACAGCTATCAATTGACTCAGCAATTCCATTCCAAGGCATATATCCAACAGAATTAAAAACATATATGCACAAAACCTCATGTAAGAATGTTCATAGCAGCATTATTCAGAACAGTCAAAAGGTATAAACAACCCAAATGTCCATCAACTGATTAATGGACAAACAAAATGTGACAGATCTAAGAACTGGAATATTATTCAGCCACAAAAAGTAATAAAGTACTGATATATGCTCCTACATGAATGAACGTTGAAAAATTATGCTAAGTGACAAAGTTAGGCACATAAGAACACAAACTGTTTGCTTCCATTTATAACAAGAAGAAATAAATCTATAGAGACAGAAAGTAGATTAGTGATTGCCAGAGGCTGGGGTGAGGGAGGAATGGAGAGTGATGCTAATGGGTAAAAGGGTTTTGGGGGGAGATGAAAATGTTCTTTTAAGCACATAGTGGTGATGGCTGTGCAACATTGTGTATATACCAAAACGCAATGAGTTTCACTTTAAAAGGGTAAATTTTGGATAAGAACATGTAGAAGAATAAAACTGGACCACTTTCTTACACCATACACAAAAATAAATTAAAAAATGGAATGAAAGACCTAAACATGAGACGGGAATCCATCAAAATCCTAGAGGAGAACATAGACAGCAATCTCTTTGACCTCAGCCATAGTAGCTTCTGCCAGACGTATCTCCACAGACAAGGGAAACAAAACCAAAAATGAATTATTAGGGCTTCATCAAGATAAAAAGCTTCTGGGCTCCTGGGTGGCTCAGTGTGTTAAGCCTCTGCCTTCCGCTCAGGTCATGATCCCAGGGTCCTGGGATCGAGGCCCGCATTGGGCTCTCTGCTCAGCAGGGAGCCTGCTTCCTCCTCTCTCTCTCTCTGCCTGCCTCTCTGCCTACTTGTGATCTCTGTCTGTCAAATAAATAAATAAAATCTTAAAAAAAAAAGATAAAAATCTTCAGCACAGCAAAGAAAACAATCCACAATACTAAAAGGCAACCTATAGAATGGAAGAAGACACTTAAAAGTGGCAGATTGGATAAAGAGCTAGTATCCAAAATCTATAAAGAACTTATCAAACTCAACACCTAAAAAACAAATCATACAGTTAAGACAAATCATACAGTTAAGAACTTATCAAACTCAACACCTAAAAAACAAATCATACAGTTAAGACAGGAATAGACATTTCTCCAAAGAAGACATACAAATGGCTAACAGACGCATAAAAAAATGCTGAACATCACTGATCATTAGGGAAATACAAATCAAAACCAGGAGATTCCACCTCACACCAGTCAGAATGGCTAAAATTATCAACTCCAGAAATAACAGACATCGGTGAGGGTACAGCTAAAAGGGAACCCTCTTGGATTGTGGAGGGAATGCAAACAGGTGCAGCCACTCTAGAAAGCAGTATGGAGGTTCCTTAAAAAGCTAAAAATACAACTACCCTTCAACACAGCAATTGTACTATTAGGTATTTATCTAAAGGAACCAAAAATAGTGATTCAAAGCACCACAAGCACTTCAATGTTTATAGCAGCATTAGCCACAATAGCCAAAACATCAAGCACTTCAATGTTTATAGCAGCATTAGCCACAATAGCCAAAACATGGAAAGGGCCCAAATGTTCATCAACTTATCAATGGGTAAAGAAAATGTGGTATGTATGTATATATATATACATATATATATAATATTACTTAGCCATTAAAAAGAATTAAATCTTACCATTTGCAATGACGTGGATGGAACTAGAGAGTAGTATACTAAGCCAAATAAGTCAGTCTGAGAAAGACAAACACCATATGATTTCACTCATATGTGGAATTTAAGAAATGAAACAGATAAACATAGGGGAAGGGAAGGAAAAGTAAAATAAAGACAGACAGGGAGGCAAACCATAAGAGACTCTTAACTATAGGGAACAAAATGAAGGTTGCTGGAGGAGAGGTGTGTAGGGGGATAGGGTAATTGGGTGACGGGCATTAAGGAGGGCACTTGATGTAATGAGCACTAGACATTATACGGAACTGATGAACCACTAAATTCTACCCCTGAAACTAATAGCACACTATATGTGAACTAATCTGAATTTAAATAAAATCTTGAAAGAAAAAAAAAGGGTAAATTTTGGGTTATGTCGATTATAACTCAATATAAATATTTTTAAATGTATTTTGGGAACAAACCATTTCCTGTGCAAAGAGTTTCCTTAATCAAATAACAATGTTTTAGAATAATTTCATCTTCTGGTGTAATACAGAATTAACCACAAGCATTCAATTATATCATATTCAATTAAAAGCTCATTCTAGATATTTATTGTTTACTATACTAAGTGCTTTTATATTATGTTTAGGGTATTTTAAATAGTTTCCTTAATATCAATCTGTTCTATAAGATCTAACTGACATGATTATAACACTAATCATCAAAGTGAGGTACATAACTCTAAAAATGTTTAATTTCCTAGACCTCTTTTAGAACAGTGTTTTTCGAACTGCAGAATGCAACTCAAAAGTAGATTGATTTAGTGAATTATAACAGCAGTATAAAAAAATAGGACAAAATAGAAAATACCAGCATGCATCACACATAATAAGGCTAAGTACTGTTTCATAATATTTTTCAGTTATATATGAAAATATATATGGGTATCCTGAGTCACAATATGCGATCAGTCATGGTCAACAACATTTGGAAACAATTTTCCATTCCTGGAAATGGAAGCATTTCCATTCCATTCCATTCATGTATGTAGTTTTTACATACATGATAGTAGCTAAGACCCTTGGCAAGATTATGCTAGCTTAATGTAGCTTTGTCACTGCAGTTTCAAATTATTGTCATATGTTTTCTCTCTTCCCACAAATAAATTCTTTGTTACTTTATTAATTCTTTATATTCAACAAAATACTATACATTGTAGAGGAATAATAATAGCTGATATTTACTGAACTAGGGATTTTTCAATGATCTCTAATTCTCATATTAACCATTTAATTTGGATTTTGTCATCCCCATTTTAAAGGTGAGTAAACTGAATTTGAAGGAGGTTACTTACATAAAGCCACATTAAATAATAAGTGACAGAGGCAAAAATTGATTCATCTGTCTGCTCCAAACACAGTGCAAATTTTCATTTACCACCTTACTTTTACCATACTCACTATTTTTAAAAAAATATCAGACTGCATTACCTACACAAATATTTACACATGTATTTTGACTTGAAGTATTCTATAGTCATTCTAGTAGATGAACTTTCTCTATTTTTCTATTTTATTGAATATTTATGCTTTTTTCTTTTTTAATTTTTCTTTTTTTCTTTTTTTCTTTTTTAATTTTAAAGTAAACTCTACACCCAATGTGGGGTTTGAACTCATAACCCCAAGATCAAGTGTTGCACGCTTCACCAGTGAGCCAGCCAGGCACCTCTTGATTTTTGTCTTTTTTTTTATTTTTAAAGATTTTATTTATTTATTTGAGAGAGAGAGAGAGCATGCATGAGTTGGGGGAGGGGAAGAGACAGAGGGAGAAGCAGACTCTATAGTACTATATGTAATAGATAATATTCAGTATCCCTCTTTGAAAGGTTTCTTTTAATAGTATATCACAGTCAAATTGGTATTTTTTTTTCTTTCCTTCCTCCCTTCCTTCCTTCCTTCCTTCCCACCTTCCATCTTTCTTTCAAGAGAAGGAAAAAGAGAATGAAGAGGGTGTGCATGGGTGGGGTGGGGGTAAGGGCAGAGAGAGGGGGAGAGAGAATTTTAAGCAGGCTCCGTGCCCAGTGCATAGTCCAATGCAAGGCTTGATCTCATGATCCTGAGATCATGATCTGAGCTGAAATCAAGAGTCGGACACTCAATCGACTGAGCCACCCAGGTACCCCGTTATGGGTATTTTCTAATGCTCTCGTTTATTCTGAGCATTAGGAAAACTCCAAAAGTCAGTATTTAACATTAGCATATGTAAGAATATCAACCAAAGGAAACCTAAAAAGCTACTAAAAATTGATTTCTAAAACACCACTTTAAGTATAACACATAATAGAAGAGTGCCCAAAATAGATATGTAAGTGCCATGAATTATAATAATGCAAATACTCATATAACCACCACTCAGGTCAACAGAACAGATCATTGCCATCACACTGGAAGACCTTGTGCTCCTCCCAATTATCATTCCCCTTCTCCTTCTCATTGGTAACCACTGTCCTGTCTTCTGACACCACAGTTTAGTTGTGCCTGTCTTTGAACATCATATAAATAGAATCATATTATATGTATTCTTTTATTTCTGGCCTCTCTTTCCCAAAACTGTAATAATTATCCATGATGTTGTGTGAGCTGTAATTTATTTTTATTGTTGTTATTATTCATATATATATAATATACTCATGTTACTGTTCATAAATATATGAATATTTGTTTTTATATAAGAATAATATATATTACAAATACATATCTCTTAAAAATTTTATCCGATCTATTACTGATAAATATTTGAGTTCAGTTTATGGCTGTTATGAATAAAGCTGTTATGAACATTCTTGCACAGGTTTTTTTGGTGTAATATATGCACAATTCTGTTAGGTGTACAACTAAGAGTGTAATTGTTGGGTTATAGAGTAGGTGTATGATCAGCTAAGTGTAGAAAGTAATACTAAACACTATTCCAAAATGGTTGCATAAATTTACACTTCATATCTTTGACAACACTTGGAATCACCAACCTTTAAAGTCTGTAGTGGCCTCTCATAATTTTAACTCGCATTCCACTGAATAAATAATGGTGTTGAGTCCATTGGCCATTAGGATATCCTCCCCTGTGAGGTTCTTAACACGAAAACTTGGTTTAAAGACTAAAACTTGAATCAAAAAGTATACTAAATTCCAAAGTTGAGGCAATAACTCAGAACAACAATGCTTTAAAGTAGTACCAATTACATATACCTAATTTAGAAGATTATAGGTATATAGAAATGTTTCTATCATTTGAGTTATTTGGTTTATTATATTTCCAGAAAGTGAAGAATGTTTTTCCTATTTGTATGACCATTTATTCACTCATACATTCATTAAAAAATTGGTAAACATTTATTTATGCCAGGCACTGTATTCAACATTAGGCTCTACCAAAGATGGAAGAGCCCTATATGAGATGGGGCATGTGCATTGCCAGAGGGCACAGACAAGCTTACTGAGCAGGTATCCCAGACCATGTCATCCACTTCTAATGCACCAGTACCTGCAGCTCAGTTCAGAGCTATGGTGCGGAGGGCCCCAAAGAGAAACTGATCATCAGGATGATACAGCGAGGGGCAAGGAGGAATGGGTTTGATATCCAGGTCATCTACTTGAGTGTCTTTTAGTACCACCTTGTCCAATTTGACAGTTAAGTGGACGAGTAACATTTATACATGGCCTGGAAAGAATGTGACAAACATGGTTCCAATTCTCACAATAAGTCACCCCATCAGAAGAAGAGAAAGTCTACACTTCATTTACTGATAAATCAGCTTGATACACGAGACTGTAGCCCTATTCTCTATGCCCAAATCTATTTCTTTCCCTTCCCCTTAAGGTACTCATTTTAAGAATGCTCATGAATAAACTTCCTATGTGCTGATTTCCATTTCAGAGTCTACTCTCTGAGAGATCCAACCTACAACAGTATCAGTGGGAAACTGAACTGCCCTAATAGACCTATAGTCTAGTGATATAGATGTGTATAGAATGTGTATATAGATGAATAGAATTAGTTTTATTTGTATTTTCAAAATATTTCTCTATCATTTAAGCAAATTTGAATAAAAGAAGTATTATCTTTCTAAAAGTTAATTGGAAGATAAATGTAAAAATAAAAAAGAAATATAAATTGGAAGATAAATGGTAAAAATAAAAAAATAGATATGTAGGGTGATCATGCAGAAAGAGTTACTGTAGCAGGTCTGAAACTTCTCTCCTTAGAAAAGTCTTCTTGCCAGGCTGGCCTTTGGCTGATGTCTGGGAACTTAGTGGTAAAAAGTTTCCTACACTGATAGAAAGCTTTCCTTAAATGAAAAAGAATGGCTTACTGTACTTAAACTGTACAAAAAAATGTGGTTTCTGTGAACATGTTTTCCTTCTGGAAGTCTGGAATTTGTTATGTGCTAAGTAAGCAGAGGGTACCTACACGACTGGACCCAGGAAAAAATGTGGGCACTAAGTATCTAATGAATTTCCTCAGAAGATAAAATTTCACGTGTTGTCGCACATGTTCCCTGACCTACGGCTGGAGGAATGAAGTGTGTCCTCTGTGACCGCATTACAGGACTTCTAGAAGCTTGTACCTAGTTCCCTCCAAACTTCCCCATACACCTTTTTCCTCTGATGCATTTTCTTTGTATCCTTTGGCTGCAATACATTTTAGCTGTATGCACAAATATATGCTGAGTTTTGTGAGTTGTTCTAGCAAATCACTGAATACGGGACTGGTCTTGAGGCTCCCCAGCACAGAGGTATAATAATTTTCATAGGGAAGTCATTTTCCAGAATTTAATGCTTTAACTACATTATATTTCTGTTGATATAAATGTATAGGGTAATAAGTTATAACTTATAATATTTATGACTACTCAAGGAAGAATACACTTTTATCCATCTAGCCACATATTGGACAAAATGTTCCTATCCCATGAATCTCTACCAAAAACACTTGCTATATTGCATATATCTTGAATGCCTGTATTTCAAAAGAATGCTGATTGATAGCTAATTTATATCCTGGTTTACTTTTTTGGTATTGTTAAATTATATATGAATATATTCCCCTACATAGAAAAGGTTATATAAGACAAGAATTGCCTGACAAGTTATTCTGTACTTAGTACAGAACAGGAAAAATTATGGTAGACATAACCTCCTAAACCCATAAAACATTCCTCTCTTCTTTATTCATCCTAAATTATTTTTGTTTGCATTGGAAAACACAGTTTAAACTGCACTGTTTTCTTACACTAATTTCATTGTCAATATTTTGTCAGTAAAGAAGTTAAGGCTGGTAGTTTAATTGTATTTATGTTGTTCATGGTATAGATTTAGGCTCCTCTTGGGTAGGGCATTGTTTTAGCCTAGAAAATAAGAACTTGTCATGTTGGAAGACAAAACATATTCTTGGGATCTACAAAAATGTATATAAGTAGTGAGTAGAGAGCACAAATTTCTTTAGGTTCTTTTACCATCTGTTTGTTATTTTATATCATTGCTATAAAATCTAGAAGTTCAACTTCCAAAATATAATGGACACCTGTTTTGTCAGTATCATTCACATGCAAATAGAATTAATTAGAAAGGAAAGATATAGTTAGACTTACATTTTCACTAGATTCTCTTTCATTCTAGGCAGTTGATCCATCTGTTGCCTTTTAAAAACTTGGTATGAGTCAGAGACCTGAAATACAAACATTTGAGAATTTGTCCTCTTATTTCATCACTGATTTTGGAGATAAGAGGAATAGTCCATTCTCAACTAACTCTTTTATAACCAGGCCCTTAAGTGGTATGCATAAGAGAAGCTAAAGAATAATGGGAAATTCTGGCTTTCTCCAGTATTTTTTTTTAAGATTTTATTTATTTATTTGACAGAGCTAGAGAGAGATCACAAGTAGGCAGAGAGGCAGGCAGAGAGAGAGGGGGAAGCAGGCTCCCCACCGAGCCTAGAGCCTGATGTGGGGCTTGATCCCAGGACCCTGAGATCATGACCTGAGCCAAAAGCAGAGGCTCAACCCACTGAGCCATGCAGGCACCCCAGCTTTCTCCACTATTAAAAGGTTTCTAAAGATTATGTAAACTCCTTCATCTCAACCCCACATTCCATGTGATTTTTAAAATAAATATAGAGGAAATTTTGACAATCATATCATCTTTGTGGCATAAAGAACATTAAAAGTTTTTGTAATAGATACTGAATATAAATAATACGTATGTTCTCTCATTAAGAAAGACATAACAATAGAAGCTGTATGTATATTGAAATGGAAAAACAAGATCATATTTTCATTCTTGTCTGTTTTGAGATACCTCTGTGATACAAAAGTGGAGACTTCCTATAAGTGGTGTAAATAAAATTTCCAGTACAGGAAGAGTTGAGGCTGGTGACCTTAGAGATGGCAATTGAAGACATGAGTAAATGAGATCACTCGGTAAGAACACACAGAGAAGTAAGAGAGTTGAGGACATAAACTTGAGAAAGCAACTTTTAAGGGGCAGGAGAATTACTAAAGGCCATAATAGGATAGGAATAGGAAAACCCAGGGAAAAAATACTTCATGGAAGTCAAGAGGTGGGTGATATTCAAAAAGTGAGCATGGTTAACAATATGAAATTCCTAAAAGATGTCTACACTACCAGGAGGCTTGAAAAGGAGTCATTATGTTTAGCTATTAAAAAGTAAACTGTGCCAGAGCCCAGTGCTGGGGGTCAGAAAGTTGAAAGAGGTCAAAGATTAAAAGCAAGGCAGTGAGTATATCCACCCTCGCATGAAGTTTGACTGAGAAAAGGAAAGCTGAGGTAGTAGTTTTATTAAGAGGGGGTAAAATAAAAGTTGGTTTCTCTTTTATTTTGGTGGAAGGGATGAGCATCTTTGTGAAGATGTTAGAGCATCTTTGCTAAGTGGGACAATTTTGGGCACACTGGACCAGAAGACGGAATTCATTCATCTATTCACTCAGCAAACACTGGTGAGCATCCATTGGTGCCACCTCTAGTTTAGCACCAGGGCACAAAGATAAGTCATAGTTCTTACAATCTATTGGAGCATGATAAATAGATTGTACAATTCACTGCTTTGGCAGAGGTTTGCACAGGTGCTTTGTAAGCATAAAGCAGATGCTAGTTCAAGCCATCAGAGGCCTGGAAGAGTAGCCAATTAAGAGCAAAGGAAAGGACATTCCAGGCAGAAAAAACAGGAAGGGCCTACAAGAATGAGACAGCATGGCATATGCAGAGACCACATATATCATTGGTCCGGCTGCAGTACAGGGTGTGAGTATGGTCACAGCTGGAAAGGCAGGCACTGGGTGTTGGAAAGGACCTTGTAGACTACACTGAACTTTGTTGATATCCCCTGGACAATGCAAAGTCACTCACGGCTTTAAATAGGGAACGTCACTGGTGTGCCTGGGTTGCTCAGTCAGTTAAGTGTCCAACTCCTGATTTTGACTCAGGTCATGATCTCAGGGTCCCTGGAATCCAGCCCCAAGTCAGCTCCATGCTCAGTGGGGAGTCTGCTTAGGAATTCTCTCTCTCTCTCTCTACTCCTCTCTCCCTCAAATAAATACATAAACCTTTAAAAAAAATAGGGAACAACACCATATCTATATTTCAGAATGATTGCTCAGGCAGCAGAGGAAAAAAAATTGAGTATGGTGAGGGCAAGATTTTAATAGCTATGCTGTTGAGATTATATTTAAAGTCTAGATTTAGGGGCACCTGGGTGGCTCAGTGGGCTAAAGCCCCTGCCTTTGGCTCAGGTCATGATCCCAGGGTCCTGGGATCGAGCCCCGCATCAGGCTTTCTGCTCAGCAGGGAGCCTGCTTCCCTTCCTCTCTCTGCCTGCCTCTCTGCCTACCTGTGATCTCTGTCTGTCAAATAAATAAAATAAAATCTTTAAAAAAAAAATAAAGTCTAGATTTAAATCTGGAGAGCTCTAGTGTTCCTGGGTGGCTCAGTCAGTTAAGCGTCTGCCTTTGGCTTGGATCACGATCCTAGAATCCCCGGATCGAGCCCCCCATCTGAAGCCCTGTTCGTCAAGAAGTCTGCTTCTCCTTCTGCCCCTCACCCTGCTCATGCTCTCTCTCTCTCTTTCCCACTCTCTCTCAAATAAATAAAATCTTTTAAAAAGAAAATAAAAATAAATCTGGGGAACTCTATTTTCAAACAAACAATAATAAAATAGAGTTGTCCAAAAAGACAACAGAAACAGCTGGATAGTCTGGAACCTATGATGTAAGGAATTGCTAGTGTAACTTCTGTGGTAATTTAATATTTTAGCATAGGGAAAAAAAAACTATGGAAACACTTAAGAGTTGGTTTCATATCTTTGAGAAGTTGTCACATAGGAGATGTATAGAATTGTTCTGTGTTCTTCAGAGGAAGAAACCAAAACAAATATGTTTTAAGGAAGGAGAATAAGGAGCATCACATGATGCTTTAACAATTCTAATAATTAGAATTGCCTGACAATGAAACAGAACAGCCTCTGGTTCATTATCTGTAAACCAAAACATTATATTCAACAATATCTCAGATCTACTGACAAAGTTCTATGTTTATGGAAACAGAACTTAAGTTTATTGTGTTACAAGTTCTATGTAACCTTTCTGCCTGACTTTAATGCAATAAACCTATATATCTTAAAACTCAATGTCTGTACTGTATACATACTGCATAAATCAGAAAACCCCTGAGATATGGAAACACACAATTTCATTCAAAACAGTGAAGACAGCAGAAGTATAAACAGCAGTCTCAGCAAATAGCTCTAGTTATCTACCTAAGAATCAATTATTTATGTATTCAGCATGGAAAGAACTGCAGATCATCTGTTGACCTTTCCGGTCACCCTAATATCCACATGGTCAGAACCATCTTTGACTACAAAGATTAACAATTCATTCTAGAGTGAAAATCCTTATTAACATTTATACTGGGGAACAGGATTAACATCTTCCTGGGAAGCTGTTAAAATAGGCTTTGATTATATGCTGAGTGATCCTGTATAATCAGAGTAGAACCTATCCCACCTAAGTGAATTTTTCAGACAAACAAAGGCAAAGGAGGAAGGCTGAGGCAACTAGAAATTCTAATGCCCCTGTCACAGAGAGAGAGGCTAGGGAGATCAGGAAAACAAAACAAAACAAAACAAAACAAAACAAAACAGGAAAATAATGTTCACCATTTCCTAGAATTTAGAACATATTTATGGGCTAGGCATTTTACTCAGCACTTTACATACATTACATCTCTAAATGCTCACAAATCCCCTGCAAGACAATACTATTATTTCCCATTCTATCAAAAAGGAAAGAAATTAGGCCCCAAAAGGTCACATTACAATTAAGTACCAAGCTGGGATTTAAATCCAAATTTAAATGACTCAAAAATCTGTGGTCTTTCCTCAAATCACGTCTTGTAAAGCAGTTAGCATTTATGCTAGAACTGGAAGGAAGCAGAATTAGCATGTATGAAAAGCAGCAAATTCCAGGCGGAGTCATTGTCTGAGGAAAGGCACAAGGGTGCCTGTGCTGCAGGAGTAAGCAGTGATGCCAACGGAGTATCCAGGAACCATCAAGTGTGAACTGACTGTTTTACAAGAGACTACAAGGATTGGTTCTATTTTGTCTCAATTTCCTAACTTAATCTTAGTCATTACTAGAAGTCCAGGCCTCCCTTTATTCACCACTGCCCTGACTTTCATTCCCAAATTGTTCTATACATCTCCTTATCAGCTCCAACCCCTAATCTTAACTCCCTTCCTCTCAATCCTCTCATGAATCTGCTGGAAATGCCAGATTAGTAATTAGCAGACTTTCTTTATGGCAAACCAAGCCCTCAAGGTCTTCTACTTCTTTGCCTCACCTAGTTAATGTCCTGAAGACTCCAACCTTCTTTTTGGGTCTACCTCCCCTGACTATCACTGTTGAAACTCTTCAGAGCTATATTCTAAACTATATTTTCTTTTCACCCTGTATACTCTCCCTGAAGCATTTCATTCATTCAAATAGCTTCATTTACTATCTATATGTTAATAATGGGAGATACGTCTGTATCTCCCATTTTTTATCTTTTCTACCCTGAGATTCATATATCCAACTGCTCTCTGGACACTTCCATGTAGATAGTGTGCATTGAAAACTAAACTCATATACTGATTTTAAAACATATGTCAAAATAAAGTTAACAAGGATTAAATAAATGTAAAATATTTAGCCAAGTACTAAAAAAAGATGTGATAAATGTTATGAAATATTGCAATGAAGACTTTTAAACTATGATATCAGAAGCCATAAATAAAAGATAGCTCTGATAACATCAAAACAAAAACTCAGTGATACTAACATCATCATAAATAAAACTGAAAGGCAAATGAAAAACTATGGAAAATATGTACATCATCCATAATTTATTGATCACTTTCCTGTCCTGTCATATGTATGTATACACTTTTCTATCCTGTATCGTAAATACAACCTTTCTAGTAATAGCAGTGCTGTATGTAAGACAGATGCATAATTATGTGCATAATTATGACATAAAATACCATGAATTTCATGATAGCAGAGGGATAACTGCTTATTTGTTTGAATTCTAGAAATTATAGATCAAACTCAAAGGATAACTAAGGAAGCAAATATGCAAAATATTCCCTTAATCTGGGCAAATTTTATCTCCTTTTTCTCCTTTTATAAAACCCATAAATTTTCCTTTTACCTTTCATATTTATAAACTTGGTAGATTTTTTTCCCCATAATTCCAATGGATGTTTGTATGCCAAACTAAACCAATCAAAAGCCTAGAAAAGTGAAAAATGTAATTTACAGTAGGAGAAAACTCTTAAAATTTAGAAGTAAGACAAGAAAATTTACCCGAGACATTTCAGCTAGGTACCTACAGCACTCATCATTGGTCTTGTGGTAAGCCTACAGGAAAAAATGCAAAAGTAAAGAATTCAACAACAGAGATGATTTGCAATACTAGCAAGGTTATTACTAAGTCAAGTTTATGTCTCTACACTGTTTTTTAAAATAGTATAAGAAATAGTTTTGTAAGTATTTTGTGATAATAATATAGTAGGTTTGTAGATAACATGCTAAAAGCAATGGCAGTTACAAAGAAATGTCTAGTATAGAATAAAAACAAACCCTTAATTCTTGTTCCAGTCTCAGTGCACAGTCTTTCACTTGATTTTCAAGGCTTCTTTTCTCTTTTTCTAGCTGTTTAAGTAATGTATTTAAGTATTCCTGAAAGTATAAATAGTAAAATTTTACATGAACTCATATTCTAAATAATAGTAAGAAATTTCTTCACTGGCAAATGCCTTTACCTCATAACATTCTGTGACTTCAAATTCTATAATATGTACTTTTTAAGTAATAACAATAATAATAATTACAATATCTGTTTAACCCTAACAATATTCCAAGTCAGTACTTGTGCTAAGTGCTTTCCACAGATGATTTGATTTAATCCTTATAAAAGCCATGAAGATGGCTAATATATTTATTTCCATTTTACTGTTGAGAAAATTGCATCTATTAGATGTTAAGTAACTGGTCCAAAGACACACAGCTAATAAATGGTAGAACTGGAATTAGAACCCAGGTATTTTGGGGTGCCTGGCTGGCTCAGTCATTGGACTATGAGACTCTGGATCTCAAGCCCCACGTTGGATGTAGAGATTACTCAAAAATGAAATCTTAAAAAAAAAAAAAAAAAAAAAAAGAACCCAGGTAATCTGACTCCAAAGGCCACACATGCTAAACAATATTATTATATATTTTTCACATGACTGGTACCAGTGTAACAACAGTACAATACAAAAGAACAGACAAATAGTTGATGACCAGGAAAATTAAGAAAATATTGCAGAGTAGGACAGTTCTGGAAACTAAGATCTCAAGCCAAATGTCATTCATCACAAATAACTGGAGCTCAGTAGAGGTTTAGCCAAATGCCAGAAAAATACTGCATTATAGTAATTTGGTTTAAAACTTTAATCCCTAAGCCAATAACAAATTATTTGCAGTAACTTCAATTTTTTTCTCATATTCTTACACATTACCACATTAACATTAAAAAGTCCTCCAGGCTGAATTCTACATAACTCTTGTTGGTCATGATTTAGGTCACTGAAGTTATTAAAAGAAACATTTAAAGAAAAACAGAAGCATCTGATTTAAATCTCCACAAAGCAAAATTGCAAGATATTTTAGAGCTCATACCCTCCTTCTAAAAAATAGCTAATTCTCTAAAAACTTATTCTCTCCTAGATACTTGTTAATACTTACTAGAATATAAAAAAACTGTATCAATAGGATAATTAGGACTGAAACAGGCAAGTTCTTGTCTCTAAAAATAACATCAGTGATAATACAAATCTCTTGGTTATGACAACTCTCCACTATGCATATTTGATTACCATTAAAACATAATTGGGTGATATTTCACAGGCAGGCCTTATTTGTCTTTGAAAACCATGCACTGGTGTCATAAATGGCTTTCAGTCTCCCTTCCCAAATAAAAAAACTGCTCCAGAAGAAAGTCCATGAAAGCCCCACAAATTTAAGAGGTTAAACTGAGTTATCTTATAGAAAATTAAACCCTTACGAAATAAATCACTGCTCAAGTATGAACAGTTTTTGAAGAAATAATCAAGGAGTGATGAAAGTAGTTCAAAATTTTGCTGTATAGACAGGCCTTTGCTAGGAGAATTTCTAGCTTAGTGTACCATATATATGGTATATACTATAACCATAGTAATATGTTTTAGTTATATCATTTGTTAAATACATTTTTATAAATGTAAAGGAGAAAGAACCTACTCATTTTAATATTGTTTCAATGGGAAAATGCACTCTAAGTTTTAAAAGAAATTAGCTTATCAACAAACTACTGGAATACAAGTTATTTTTATATTAAAGATGACCTGAGTGAGATATGACCCAAAACTCTAGAAACTCATAGAAGAAATCATACGAAATAGGTAAAATTCAGGAAGGAGGCCTGCTTCTCCCTCTCCCATTCTCCCTGCTTGTGTTCCTGCTCTCCCTATCTCTCTGTCAAATAAATAAATAAAATCTTTAAAATCACTCAATCAATCAATCTGCCACCTCCTGAGATCTCCTTCTATATATGTCTTATCCATTCACTTCAATTATAAGCTATCACTTCTCTGATAATAAATATCACATCCAAATCTAAATCTGTGTGCCTATCCTTAACATTTGTTTGACACCTCAAGCTCAGTTTTACCAAAACCACTTTCTACAACTTTACACAACTTATATCCCAATAAACTCAATGTTTTAATGGCACCAAGCATAGATTTCTAATTTTGCAAGGGACATTTGGATTTCATTAAGTGGGAGTATTTTAGGAATTTTGTACATGGGAAGAAGAGTATGGGTTTGTTAAGATAGGGTCATGTAAGAGTGAATATGTCAAACAATGAACTATAGGAGTCTTTAAAAATTTTTTACTAACAGAGCTCAGGCCTGAGAGCCTACTACATACACCATCTCCCTTCTTAATTCTATAACCAAAAATATCTTGGCCAAAATGAGAACCATTATAATTAAGCACTTTTTTTAAAAAAAAGATTTTATTTATTTATTTGACAGAGATCACAAGCAGGCAGAGAGGCAGGCAGAGAGAGAGGAGGAAGCAGGCTCCCTGCTGAGCAGAGAGTCCAATGCGGGGCTCCACCCCAGGACTCTGAGATCATGACCTGAGCCGAAAGCAGCGGCTCAACCCACTGAGACACCCAGGTGCCCCTTAAGCACATTTTTTAAAGCACCATTCTACTTCACTAATAGTTCTTCAATAATTTTGTACTCAAACACTATGAATTATAAAATAGGCTGTATACAAGAGGTCAGCTACCTGTCCTGGTACTTTTATTAGGAATCCCTAAATTAAAAAGTGTTAAGTTAAAAATGGCAACATACTAAAGCTGGGAAAATCTGAGTATCAAATTAGATAATAATGCTAAAAATTATATAAAAGTACATAACATAAAATTATATTATAAAAATCCATAAGTTAATCCTGATCTAAATTTTTCAAGTAAATAAATAAAGAGAAAAGAAAGATTTTCTCCATAGTAGAATGACTAATAAATAGTGAAAGTCATGGACATGATAGTAATTATCAACCAAAAATATCAACAGATGCTAAAATAGTGGATGAAAGTCAATATGGAATGGCATATTTACATGCTGTCAAAATACTTCCCCATAAAATGCCTTCTAATTACAAAGGGAAAAAGATTAACTGCAATGGAGATGCCTGACAGACATCTTCTTAATTAAGTGATCAAAGTTAATGTTAACAATTATGAGGCAAGCTGAAAAAAACCTCTCAATTGACTGGATGAAATAAGAACACAATTTGACTTATGTGGCATTCTTACAAAAAAATGTATAATTAGCATTTAATCATAAGGATTCATTAAACACACATACTAGGATATTCTACAAAATGTTCAGCAAGGAATCTTTGAAAGTGTCAAGGTTGAAAGTCAAAGAAAATCTGAAAAACTATTTTTTCCCCAGCTTTACTGAGGTCTAACAATTAAAATTGTAAGATGTACAATTACAACTTAAAAGACATAAATTACAATGTAAGACGTAAAATGTACAATGTAATGATTTGAGATAGATAGGTAGGTAGATAGATAGATATGGTGAAAGTCTATTCCCCATCAATGAAAAATTATTTTGATTTAGGTCACTAGAGCGCATGACAACTAAATGCAATATATGATCCTGAATAGGGCCTATTTGTATAAAGAACGTTATTGGGACAACTGATGAAACTGTATGAGCAGTGAAGAATCCATGCTAATTTCTTGATTTTGATGGCTACATTATGATTGTGTAGGAGAAAGTCCTTGTGTATTGTAGTCAGAAGTGATAGCAACTTACTCTAAAACAGTTCTTGAAAACAGAAGTTTCTTGCACTATTCTTGCATTTTTTCCTGTAAGTTTGACGTTATTTCTAAATAAATAAAATTGGGGGCACCTGGGTGGCTCAGTGTCCTAAGCCTCTGCCTTCAGCTCAGGTCATGATCTCAGGGTCCTGGGATAGAGCCCCACATTAGGCTCCCTGCTTGGTGGGGAGTCTGCTTCCCCCTCCCTCTCTGCCTGCCTCTCTGCCTACTTGTGTTCTTTCTCTCTCTCTGTCAAATAAATAAATCTAAATAAATAAATAAATTTGTAAATCCATCCAACAAAAAAATGGCAACATAATAATTTCATAAACTTGTAGATATATATGGAAAATGTTATTAAGCTGAAACTTCATATCAGATGTGGACCCCTTGCTTGTTCTTCTGACTTTCTTTATAACCACCCTCATCTTTAACATCTTGATTTCTTATCCTTCCGGCCTATAACACACCATCTCTAGCTTTGTGCTTGTTTGTTTCCCCTAGACTCAGTATAGAAACACAAAGTATTTTATTTTCTCTGGTTAACCTTTGGACTACTCCCACAAGTAGAATTCCTAGGACCCCTTTTACTTTTCTTCCTTGAGCCTGCTTCCTAGTTGAATTTTAGATGCACTATACTTTGGTATTATGCCATAACTCAGGGAAGTAGGATGGTTCATTGGGGCAACCTCATGGTAACAAGGCAAGCATAAAAAAAAAAGGTCTCAATTAATGGAATTTATCATATCAATGGACTAAAAAAATCACGTGATCATATCAATAGATGCAGAAAAGGCAATTGACAAAATCCAACACCCAGTTATACCAAAAAGTCGCAGTAAACTAGGAATAGAGAGGAGCTTTCTTCACTTGATAAAGAATATCTTAAAGAAGAAGGACAACAGCAACAACAACTATAATACCACACTTCATGGTTAGAATCGTGAAGCTTTCCCACTGAGATCAGATGGTACAAGACAAGGATGACCCTTCTCACCACTTCTTACAACATCACACTGAAAGTCCTTGCTAATATAATAAGGCAAGAAAATGAAATAAAATGTGTATAGACTGGGAAGGAAGATTAAGAAAAAACTATGTTTGCAGATAACATGATCATCCATGTGGAATACTCAAAATAATCAACAACAAACTCTGGAAGTAATAAGTGATTATAACAAGGTTGCCAAATGACAACCTTGTTATATATGAGATATATAACAAGGTTAATATATGAAAATCAATTGTTTTCCTATATACTGGCAATGAACAAGTAGAATTTTGAAATTAAAAAAACACAATATCATTTAC